GCCTAGACTACGTCGCCAGTCTTGTTGCTGAGTCTGAGTCTGTCTGTCCTCCGTCCGTCGGGGGTGAGTGTGCCCTTGGCACGAACGTCCTTGAGGACAGGCAGGAGGAGTTCCAGTGCTTGGCCGCTGCTTCACCTCATCTCGTGTCCGTACTGCTTACCCCTGAGGGAGACCCGGATGCACTTGACATCCCGACTCCGCGCTCTTACGCGGAGGCGATAGAGGGTCCCTACTCCTCTCAGTGGCAGGCAGCTATGGACGCAGAGATGGCTTCCTGGAAGTCCACAGGCACCTACGTTGATGCTGTTCCCCCTCCTGGGGCGAACATCGTCAGTGGCATGTGGATTTTCAGGGTGAAGCGACCGCCGGGTTCTCCGCCTGTCTTCAAGGCGCGTTACGTGGCTCGTGGCTTCAGTCAGCGGCAGGGAGTTGACTACTTTCAGACCTTCTCTCCCACCCCGAAGATGACCACTCTTCGGGTACTGTTGCACGTAGCTGCTCACCGTGACTACGAGCTACACTCTCTTGACTTCAGCACTGCTTTCTTGCAGGGCAGCCTGCACGAGGAGATCTGGCTGTGTCGCCCACCTGGCTTCACTGGGTCTTTTCCTCCTGGCACCCAGTGGAGCCTACGGCGGCCAGTCTACGGTCTCCGCCAGGCACCGCGTGAGTGGCACGACACACTGAGGACTACACTTGCGGCTCTTGGGTTTGCTCCCTCTACTGCCGACCCGTCGCTGTTTCTGCGCACCGACACTTCTTTGCCGCCGTTCTACATCCTCGTGTACGTCGACGACTTGGTCTTTGCCACAGCTGACACTACTGGATTAGCCCACGTGAAGTCCGAGCTGCAGAAGAGACACACGTGCACTGACCTGGGTGAACTGCGCAGCTACCTTGGCTTGCAGATCACTCGGGACAGAGCACGCCGCACCATTACCCTGACTCAGTCACACATGGTGCAGCAGGTCCTTCAGCGCTTCGGCTTCACGTACTCCTCGCCTCAGGCCACTCCTCTGCCTACTCGCCACTCGCTCTCAGCTCTGCCTTCGGATGAGTCCGTAGAGTCGAGTGGCCCGTACCCAGAGCTTGTTGGCTGCCTCATGTACCTGATGACCTGCACACGACCTGACCTTGCATACCCTCTTAGCATTCTTGCACGCTATGTTGCTCCTGGGAGACACAGACCGGAGCACATGGCTGCAGCGAAGAGGGTGTTGCGCTACTTGTGCAGTACGTCGGGCATGGGGCTTGTGCTTGGAGGGCAGAGTCCAGTGGTCCTTACTGGGCACGCAGACGCTTCTTGGGCTGACGACCAGGCTACGCAGCGGTCGTCACAGGGTTACACCTTCAGCCTTGGTTCCGGCTCTGTTTCGTGGCGGGCTACCCGCTCGTCTTCTGTTCTCGGCTCCAGTTGTGAGGCTGAGATCTACGCAGGAGCCATGGCTGCACAGGAGCTTCGCTGGCTCACCTACCTGCTGACTGACCTCGGAGAGCTGCCTCGTTCTCCTCCAGTGCTGTACGTAGACAACAAGGCCATGCTGGCCTTGTGTCGGGAGCAGCGACTGGAGCACAGAACGAAGCACATTGCTCTCCGCTACTTTCTTGCTCGTGAGCTGCAGCAGCGTGGTCAGCTGCGTCTTGCGTACGTGGCCTCTGAGGCCAACACTGCTGATATCTTCACCAAGGCGCTTGCGCCTTGTGACCATCAGCGCTTCTGTACTCAGCTGGGCCTTGTGCCTACCTTGCCTCACTTGCTCACCTCTTGACCTTGCTTGTACTGTTACATATATATATACCTGCTCTTGCTTGTCTAGTCTTTTTATATATATGTACTCCTGCATGTGAACTGGCCTTGTGGCCTTGAACTTGTGCTCGGAATGTGTGGTGACTTTGTGATCCACCCTGAGCTTGCTTTGCTTTGCTTTGCTTGACTGGTCTTGTGACCCCTTGTTCTCCCCCACTTTGCCTATGGGGGTGTGTCAGAACATTATAGCTCATGCATATTGTGTAGGCTATAGTGGGGTAGCCCATAAGGGGTACAACCCAATTAGGGTTAGTACTTGTACCCAATTCATTCATAGTTCATTGATTCCTTGTTTCTTCTCATTATTGCCACGATGGTAACCAGTATGCCCAGATGGTCAACATTATTGCCTACATGGTAATGAATGAACAGTGCATCCGGAAATCCTGGCTGGCAACTTCGCGTTCCAACCAAACCGTACACCGTATACGTCAGGTTTGACTCAGCGAAACAATACTGACTCAACGTGTACCCAACAGAATGCGCATTTCTGTTTATAGTAGCGACGTTTACAATTTCAGACAGTAAAACCGCGATATGGAAACTCGTAATATGTAAACAAATTAACAAGCAAACAGACAAACAAAAATTCTTAACTATCAAAGAAACACTACAAAAAAACATATACACACAATGTCAAACGGAAAAGATATCCTAGTGATATATATTTTGCAACAAATTATTCTACCCTATCAAAAATATATTTCAGAATTTTAGGATTTGAAGCTAGACCTAGTTACAAAAATCTCAATATAAATTTGAACAATATTAATTTTGCACATGATAGACAATAAAAGTTGCATAAAGAATAAACCTTCTTTTATATATTAAAAATTGCATACAAGACATGATATAAACTGTATGAACAGATAATCGAATCCCCGTTTTAAATAGTCAGGCTACATTTGTTTTTTTCGGAGTGTCCGTAATATGCTTGCTATAATATTGATTATTTATTATATCGAATACGTGCATGTAACGTTTTGCGTTTTTAAGCGTTCGTTTACTAAACAGAATTGCGCATTCTGTGGGTGTATACGTGAATAGTCAGTTTCCTTTTTGTTGAGTCAAAACCTGACTTGTACGGTGTACAGTTTGGTTGGAACGCAAAGTTACCAGCCAGGATTTCTGGATGCACTGCTCATTACCATTCAGGCAATAATGTTGACCATCTGGGCATAATGGTTACCATCGTGGCGATGAGAAGACATCTCTGTTACGATTTCGATACGTGGCTACCTCGCATGCTATCGATCTCCATGAATGTTACCGCTAAGATAAATGCCCTCTTCCTAGCCGCGACTCGCTCGAGTCCACCTAAGCAAGTTCCGTGGCTGGCATGGCAACATCCAGCGTATGTCCCTGACGTGTCGATTAGGGCTGTCAATTGTTTTAGGAGATCCCTGAACGACCCGAGCTGTGATCGATTGTCACTCTGTCGCTTCAATGTGCGCGGGTCTGTTCGGAATCCAGAAATTGCAGAACTTTGAAATTCGTGATTCAGTGACCCGGCAATTCTCCAGCCTAAGTAGTGTCGAAAATGAGTTGTGATTTGATTGGGCCTTGACATGTTGGAACTCGGAACAACACGGCCTTGCCATTTTCTTTCTTCTATGTACCCATAGTAGAGTCCGTCCATACGTTCAATGTGGTTGCGGAAACGCAGGCTAGATCGGACAAATTACCCTGACGTTTCAAAGCCTGTCGGCTGTCCCTACGGGAGCGCCGTCGGGAGACCTGTGTCGGGAAGCAAGACGTTGATATGAATCAGGATACGAGGGCGCGTTTAATTAGAACATGAGAACGAAATTATGTGCAGTTACCATGCTAGTCGAGACTTCACGGGCCCAGCGACGCTCGCCTGAGCCTTCGCTCATCTGCTTTCGTCAAGGGAACGACCGACACTCTCTTTCCCGTGGCATAAAATACGCTCTCATTCCTCTCACCTCCCATACTGTGCAATTCCTCCTTCCGCCCGAATTCTCCAAAAAAGTCGGTGGTCCGTACAGTATATACTGTGCGTTTATAGTATGTAACCAGAATGAATCGGATCAGAACGCATTTGACATGCATGTATCCCATCCCACCCCAGCTTCTTGGTTAGGAACAATCCCGTGATTTGAAGCATTTTTCCCCTTCCACGCAGGCTTTCTGATCAACGCGATGTACTTCTGTCACCCAAACCGTTGAGTTCTTGCGTGTGTAGCCTTACTAGCTGGTCGCGTCGCGATTTAACTCAACACACCGTCCTCCTCAGCACTTCATCCATCCGACCATGGTTACTATTTTGTAGTAAGTTAGAAAAAGTGGTCTAAAAGATAATTCAAGAGACCCTCAAGCTTCAAACGGGTTTTTTTCTCTTGAGAAATTATCAAAAGGGCACCACGAACGGGTGACTCCGTTGAGGTTCATGCCGATCTTCTGGCAGCGATGCTGTCGATTATTGTCGACAGACGGCTTGCGTGACTGTCGAAGACCATCGTTATCGGACATCATCACTTGTCATCAACTATCTCGCGGACTGAAGCAGCATTCGCTACCTGCGGCGTAATTATTTAGTGAAGCAGCAACTCCTACTCAATCTTTACCTGACCCGGTTCAACCCGGTTAATAACTTATGGCTCCCCGAAACCTCCGCTCATTCTCCTACACTCTCCATCTTACTCTACACCTGCTCTCCGTCTTCTCCGCCGCTTCTTCCGCTGGATTAACCGAAAATGCTCCCGCGAGCGCTCCCGCCCCGTCTCCCGGCGACGACATAGTCCCTGATATTCCCGGTATAGACTACTCCGTTAATATCACGCTTCCGATCGTCTCAGGCACGTCAGGAGATCCCGTGGGGCCTCCCGTTTGTTTTAGCCAAGGGCTGTCTCCGCACCCGGTTCCGATCCCTTGTGGCGAAAATCCTCCGCAAACAGCCGCGTCGCAGACGGCGTGGCCCGTATCGCAAATGCTGTCGCTCGCCAGCGCGCGACGATTCGCATCCACCAGAAATTCGAGTCGGCCTCTCGTGAATACTGACTCCACACCCAAGCTAACTCCCGCTACTGAGCTCTTCGATATATGCACGGGACAAGGTACGGCTCTTCGATATATGTAGTACTATCGTTCGACTCCGTTTTTCGCCCCGGGCGCCTGAGGTCTCGTGTGATCGTGCGGCTGAGGTCGCATGCGATCGAGAGACGGTCTTGGCATGCGATCGTACTTTCTGTTCGCACTGCATTGCTTTCGCCGCTATCCGCGCGCGCTCGAGTGCGCTGTCGTTGAACGAGTCCGCAAAAGTGCGGCTCACTCGTCGTCGCTCACTCGTCGTCCCTCACTGCTCGTCGCTCACTCGTCGTCCCTCACTACTCGTCGCTCACTTGTCGTCGCTCAGTACTCGTCGCTCACTTGTCGTCGTTCACTTGTCGTCGCTCACTCGTCGTCGCTCACTACTCGTCGCTCACTTGTCGTCGCTCACTCGTCGTCGCTCACTCATCCCTATCGCCCCTCACAGCTGCAAGTTCAGGCTGAAGTAGAATCGCGCCCTCCGTATCACCCCCCACCGTCGCTCACAGTCGTTCACAGTCGTTCACAGCCGCACACTATTTCCTAAAATAGCCTTGCGTATCGCCCTCGCTCGTCCCTTCGCCGTTATTCTATCCTCCTCACGCGACGATCTCACAAATGGTCTCCTCGCATCAAATTTGCTTTACGAATCAAACTTGATTCTTATTGCGATCTTTTCCGGATCCCGTGTCCGCCCTCCACCCCTGCCCTCCACCCTCCCCTTCTCCCAGCCTCCGCGTCAGCGGCTCTCAACCCACGCAGGGGGGGGCATTGAACTGAGAGTGTCCCGTCCCGCCTGCTCTTTCCCCTCTCCCCTTTCCCCCCTCCGTACCAACCTCCCCTTCTCCCAGCCTCCGCGTCAGTGACTCTCAACTCACGCAGGGGGGACATTGAACTGAGTGTGTTCCGTCCCGCCTGCTCTCCCCCCTCCCGCCCACACTCCCCCTCCCCACCACACGCCCCACTAACCCAGCCTCCGTGTCTGTGACCCTGAAGCCACGTAAGCGAGACACATGGCGGGGTTGGGGTACGTCCCTCTGCTGGTAAGCCGCAATCCCCCTGGTTTCCCTTTTCCCCCTTTTCCCCCTTTTCCCTTTTCTCCCTTTTCTCCTTTCTCCCTTTTCCCTTATCTCCCTTTTCCCCTTTCTCCCTTTTCCCTTTTCTCCCTTTTCCCCTTTTTTCCTTTTCCCCTTTCTCCCTTTTCCCCTTTCTCCCTTTTCCCCTTTCTCCATTTTCCCCCTTCTCCCTTTTTCCCTTTCTCCCTTTTTCCCTTTCTCCTTTTCCCCTTTCTCCCTTTTCCCCTTTCACCCTTTTCCCCTTTCTCCCTTTTCCCCTTTCTCCCTTTTCCCCTTTCTCCCTTTTCCCCTTTCTCCCTTTTCCCCCTTCTCCCTTTTCCCCCTTCTCTATTTTCCCCTCCCCTGTTCTCCCCTTCTCCGTTTTCCTTTTTCTCCCATTTTTCCCCGTTCTCCCCCTTTGTTCTTCTCGCCTTTCTCCCCTTTTCCCTTTTCTCCCTTCTCCCCACTCCACCCCTTTCCCCCCTTCTCCGCCATTCCCCGTTGTTCCCCATTCTCCCTTCTCCATTTCTCCCCCTTCTCCCACTTCCCCCCTTCTCCATTTCATTTCCCCCTATTTCGCCCTTTTTTGCTTCTCCCTTGTTACCCTTTCTCCCTTTAACCCCTTCTCTCGTTTTCCCCTCTTCTCCCCTTTTCCCTATTCCCTTATTCCCCTTTCTCCCCTTTTCCCACTACTCCCTCTTTTCATTTTCTCCCCTTTCCCTCCTTTTCCCCCTTCCCCCTTTTTCCGCTCTTTCCCCTTCTCACTTTCCCCCTCCCCTCGCTGTTGTCCCACGGTTCTTCGTTTTTCTCCCCTTTTCCCCCTTCTCCTGTTTTTTCCATTTCTCCCAATTTCCCCTTTTCTCCCCATTCTCTTTCTTCCGTTTTTTCTCTCTCTATTTCCCCCCGTCTCCCTTTTCTCCCTTTCTCCCTTTCCCCCCTCCTCCCCTTTCCCTGCTTCTCCCTTTTCCCTCCTCCTCCTCCCTTTTCCCTCTTCCCTTCCCCCGTCTCCCTTTTCCCCCCTTCTCCCTTTTCCCCCCCTCCTCCCCTTTCCCCCCTCCTCCCTTTTCCCTGCTTCTCCCTTTTCCCTCCTCCCTTTTTCCAAAATCCTCCCCTTTCCCCCTTCTCCCTTTTCCCCACCTTCTCCCTCCACCCCCCCTTCTTCTCCCTTTTTCCTCCTTTCCTCCTCCCCTGTTTCGGATGGGGTACCTCCCACTGCTGGTAAGCCATTCCCAGTCCCCCCTCCTCCCCCACTCCCCATTCCCTTCATCCGCCCTCCCCCTTTCCCTGTTAGCCTGGGTGCAGCAGGGGGATCTCATACACCCAGGCTAACAGGGAAACAGGTACCTCATACTGTTAGCCTGGGTGCAGCAGGGGGTATCTCATACACCCAGGCTAACAGGGAAACAGGTACCTCATACTGTTAGCCTGGGTGCAGCAGGGGGTATCTCATACACCCAGGCTAACAGGGAAACAGGTACCTCATACTGTTAGCCTGGGTGCCAGTAAGTCCCATCTGGATAGCACCGTCCTCTCAATGTAACACCACTTTAATTTAATCACCATAACACTATTACATACTCCCTCGGAGTGGCACCACTGCTCTCCCACAATGCACCACCATTTCTCACCCCCGTTTCCCTGCACCCTCCCTCTTCCCATCCCATTTTCCCCTGCTTTTATCTCGCCCTCCCAGGCTAGGAAACTTCGTGGGAGGCTTCCCAGACGAGCACTTCAACCCGCTCATGGACCTCCTATTCTCCCCCTCGGGTCTAAACCTCAACATAGTCCGTTACAACATAGGAGGCGGCTACAATGCTACTAATAGCCCTCGGTTCCTAACTGGGTATGTCAAATGGCGGGGCATGCCGGGCTTTAAAGCCACAGAGGAAGCGGCTTATAACTGGTCAGCGGACGACAGGCAGAGGAGAGTTTTGTTTGCTGCCCGGCAGCGCGGGGCAGACCGGATCGACGCTTTTGCCAACAGCCCGCCGTGGTGGATGACAGTCTCGGGGGATGTTGCGGGCGCGCCCATATACGGGCAGGGTAATTTAAAGGTGGAATATGAAACGGCTTTCGCGGAATACCTCACTGACGTGGTGCAGAAGTTTGCAAGGGATAGAAGCTGGGGCAAAGGATTGGTGTTTGACACTTTGGAGCCGTTTAACGAGGCGTTGGAGGGGTGGTGGAAGCAGGGGGGAGGGCAGGAGGGGTGCAACATCAATATACAGCAAATGAGACGCATTTTGCCCAAGGTGCAGGCTGCTCTTGCAAGGAAGCAGCTTAAAACGAAGATCGTGGGGGTCGATAGCTTCGTGCAAACCACCCCGAGACAAATCGGGAGCATTCTCAGCCCGTTCCTGATTCGCTACAACGTGCATGGTTACATGAGCCTCGCACAAAACGGGATGAGCCCCGTCGAATTCACGACGCAGAATTTCCACGTGATGAAAGATATCTCGAAATCACAGGCGAAGGAGGTGTTTGTTTCGGAGTGGGGGCCTCTGAATCGAGGTGGGGAAGATACAGATGTTGCACTGTTCATGGCACGATCGATCATTGGGTCGTTGAACGTTCTAGAAGCTACTGGGTGGGTCTTTTGGCAAGCGATCGACCCTGTCGCGTCGTGGGCTTTAATCCACATCGACTGGTCGAAAACTCCGGATGCGTCTACAGAGTACACTCCGCCGCTGGTTTCCAAAAAGTTTTGGATTCTGAAGCATTTCACAAGCCTTGCTCCTCCTCGCAGCAAGAGGCTGCTTATCAACAAGCCGGGCTGCCACTTTGGGATTGCTGCTTTCTACACCCCGAAGAAGAGATTGATAAGTGTGTTTGTGGTGAATCAAAAGGGTGCATCAAGGACGGTGAAAGTTCACATGCCTTGGTGGTTTATAAGGAATGTTGGTGGGAAAACAAAGGTGCGTTCATGGAGAACATCTTTCGCTGAGGACTTTGAGGAAATACACTACGGTAGAGGCACTAGGCCACTACGGTTTGAGATTCCTGGTCGGTCGTTTATGTCGTTTGCTATTACACATATCAGGTCCTTCGCTTAGGATTGTATTCAGTGACTGTATACGGTAGGTAGGTGCCTTCTAGGATTAGAAATACTAGTAGTGTACTACTGTAGTAGGTAGAAGTCAATATAGCACCTGTGTTGGCTTTTAGGCATTGAGGTATATGCTTTGCATTCTGCTGCCTTTTGAAAGTACCGGTAACTAGTGTATGCCTTGAAGCCAACCCTGTTATTGCACATCTCGCACCATGTACGTTATCACCAAGTGAGCAGCACCAAATACAGAGAATCAATACAGGTAGGCAGGCAGGTTCAAACATGTGCAGTTGTGGCTTATAACTAAGTATTGCAATCTAGCAACACTTAATTTTGCAAGCAGCCAGTCCTCGCAAATATGCTGTCAAAATATTCCCCTATCTCACCTTCTTCGATTCTACCCCTGCCCTCTTCATCGCGAGCAGGATCTCCGTGCGGTAACTCGCATCGTCACACAGAAAACTCCACCACACCAGCGTAAACGGCACTGTTGCCGCATGCCACAGTGAGTGCGCGTCAAAAAGGCCCAAAATCGGCGGGAAATCGTAGAGCTCGAGCAGTAAGGAAAAGGCCGTGCCGCCCGACACAAAGAGAACCTTCCAGGCGGACGGGTGCCGGCTGGCAATGGCCCAGATGGTCCAGAGCAGCAGCTGTGTGACTCCCATGGAAGTGCACACTACGATGTTCCAATCTGGAGAGGGGTGAGAGGAAAGGTGCAGTGGAGAAGAGCTGAGGTGCAGAAAATTGCTGGATGGCTATGGCCCAGATGGTCCACAGCAGCAGCTGTGTCGCCCCCATAGCAGTGCACACAACGATGTCTCTATCTGCGTCAGGAGGAAGGGATTGTAAAGAGGAGGATTGTGAAAGGGGAGTTTGTTAAGGGGGAAGGGAAAGCTCCCTGGCGCTGCCACCACGACCCGTGTGGCCTCCTCCCTCAGGCTGCTGATGAAATGATACACATGTGCTCGCCACAATCACACCCATTACATTCATCCTCGATGTAACCATAATCACCCACCAAAGTCGAAAGTGTAGAAGTTCATGTAGAATATGTGAGTGGTGGTGAAGGCGATCACAGGCGCTGCCACCATGACGCGTGTGGCCTCCTCCCTCAGGCTGCTGATTCGGATGATGCAGACGAGCAGCGAAATGCCGATGAGAGCGATGGCTGATGTGTAATCCCCTGACTGTGTCTCCCAGACGTCCCTGCAAGGAGGAGAGGGGAAGAGGGAGAGGACAGGGGTCGATGGAGAGGAATATTGCGAGAAAATCGGAAACAACATGCCGATGAGAGCAATGGACAATGTGAAAATCGAAAATGACAGGGGAAAGGAGTCAGCGGTTGAGCGTCGTGCAAGGTCATGTGTGTAACGACTCTGAACGTTCACCATTTTCTCATGCGCCGACAAGCTTGCCATTTCATGCTGCGTTGAACCCACTTGTGCGGCCAAAATCACCCTGATTCACCCACTTAGACGTTGTCGCTCCTCCTTGACTCTTCGTGGCATCGAAAAAACTCCCTTACATGACATGCTTCAGGCGGAAGCTTCACGCATGAGCGTCAAGCGATGGCGAAAGCCAACTATGTGATCGACAGCAGCAGTGGCAAGCTGCGGAGACACGCCTGGGATAGTGTCATCTCAACTTGCCACTTCAGCCATCAATCTCATACTCACTAATGGTTGACGCTGCTGAACGATCTACGATCGAAGCATGTCATGTAAGAAGGTTCTATCGATGCCACGAAGCGGCAATGAAGAGCGACATCGTCTCAATGAGCAAGTGAACCAGTGTGGTGTTCGCCGCACAAGCGAGTCCAATACAGTATGGAATGACAAGATCGTCAGCGCCAGGAGAAAACGACAATCGTTTGGTGTCGTTGCTCGCATAACCTTGCACGACGCTTGACCATTGACTCCTTCACCCTGCTTTTTTCAATATTGAACGTGGGACTTCGAAATATTGAAGTGCTAATGGCACCTGTATCAAATAACACACGCACCATATAGCACCTGCGCACGTACCGGGCATGGAAAATGGCGCTCCAGAGCCAGGAGTTGAGGGCGAAGAGCCCGTAGATGGCCATGAGCGTGGAGTACTCGTAGAGCGGGCCCTTGTTGCCCATGGGCTTGCGCGGCAGCTTCACATACACGAGACGCAGGAAGGTGTAGAGGCCGTAGAGCGTGGCTAGGAAGTTGAGGATGGAGAAGGCGGAGGACGCGATTTCCTGGGAATGAGGGTGAGAGAGTGATGTGAGGAGGGGGTCAGGGAGTGAAGGAGAAAGAGAGGAGAAGATTACGCCTCAGTATGGGCAGGTTGGAGAGCGCGGAGTATTCATAGAGTGGGCCCTTGCCCTTTGTTGCCCATGGGCTTGCGCGGCAGCTTCACATACACGAGGCGCAGGAAGGTGTAGAGGCCGTAGAGCGTGGCTAGGAAATTGAGGATGGAAAAGGCGGAGGAAGCAAATTCCTGGAAAAAGGGGAGGGAGGAAGGGAGGGAGGGAGGGAGGGAGTTTACGGGGCATGATCGGCTATGAGGCAAGGCGAACTATGGGCCATGGTGGGCTGTAGGGCAAGGTGGGCTATGGGACACAAGAAACGTGTTGAGGTTGAGACTTTCCTGGAAATAAGAAACGCGGATGAAGGGTCATCTTCCGCAGTACTGCACTTGCGGCATGCCAGGCATCTGAATGTCACGCATGCACTGGTACTTGCACCGCTCACACAGTTATGCCTCGTTATAAGACAGGCCTTCGAACGAGTCTCACCTGAAATTAAATACGCGGATGTAAGGGCCATTTGCCATAGTACTGAACTTGAGGCACCCCAGGCATCTGATTGTCGCGCATGCACTGATACTTGCACTCGCTCTCGCGGTCATACCTCGTTATAAGACAAGCCTTGGAACGGGTCTCACCTGGAAGCCTAAAACGCGGATGAAGGGCCATTTGCCGTAGTACTGAACTTGAGGCACCCCAGGCATTTGAATATCGCGCATGCACTGGTACTTGCACTCGCTCTCGCAGTCCCAGCGTAGAAGTCGGAGCTCTAACGGAGCCGTCACCATTCCGTCAGAATCAGCTTCAGGCGGACAGCCCGGAATACAGTGGTCGCCCACGCATCCTGTTTTCTGGCAGTCAGCCAGGCACGTCCTGAAGAATTGACATGACGAGGAACAAACGGGACGGAAATGAAAAATACAGGAAGGGGGGTAGCAAGATAAGTGAGGGAAAATGACAGGAAGGGAGGGCAAAATACAGAAACGAAGGTAAAAATATAGG